TTTTATAAAAAAATTAATTTGTTCATAAATTACAATAATTTCAAAAAAAATGTTTCATCGATTAAATGAACGCTCTAGAATAAAAACAACTTATTGTTTACTCGCATATCGAAACGGAACTCAAAACGGGTGCATATTAAAGCGAGACAATATTTAGTTATCATAGGAATAGAGAACATTGGCTTTTTATTATGCGAAATATGTAAGTTTTATTTTGTGCTGATAACTAGATTTCGAAAACTTCATTTTTTGAACGAAACATTTTCGTTGTAAACCATCGATAAGTCTAAGTGCCACTTCAGGTTGTTCGATTCATATTATGATTTAAAAGCGATAAAACGGTGAGTTTTTAACTAATCATGGGCAAATACATTTTTCGAAGTTACCAAAATCGACACGACTACAGAATAATGATAGTGTGTAATCTCGATTTCATCGTGATTATTTCATTTTTTTAAGAAGCTCTTGAATAAAATATATATATCCGCTTAAATAAAGCAGAAAATCATTAGTATTTTACATTCCATTTGAGAAAAGGCGAATTTTTGTAATTAGTGAAAATTGTAGAAACTCAATTAAATTCCACTGAAATTATTGTAAAATAAAAAAAAAACCTCCTTATAAAGTGATTTGTGTGATTTGATTGTGTTTTCGTCCAGTGATCATTAGTTATTGACGATGAAATTGAAATATTTGCTTGTTTTGATATTTTTGTGTGTCGATGTGAATGCCAGACCATCTGATTTAGAACAAGAGCTGTTCAAAGCCGTTCAAAATGGTAATTTTTAACTATCATTGGCAATATATGGAAAAAAGAGCATCGACAAGTATTTCCACACTACTACTTGATAAATTACATTATGATCCATTTCTAACCAACATTATATGTGTCTTTTAGGTGATATTGAAGAATGTAAAACTCTAATCGAAAATGGAGCGAATGTAAATGCAAAATTTGCCGAGGAGCTGGGGTACTTACATTATGCTGCTAGCTGGGGTACTTCTTCAATTTTCCAAAATTCAAATCAGAAACAAATATGCTTCTAAGTGCTTGGACTTACCCGATTTCATAATTTTTAGGTCAGGTAGAAATTATCAAGCTTTTAATCGAACATGGTGCCGACGTACATGCCGAAGCACAGAACAAATTTACACCGATTTTCTATGCCGCTGCGAAAGGTACACTTGTTCAATGTTCATAAAAGGTTAAGCTTGTAAAATGTCATACTTTCCAGGCAAAACAGGAGCAATCAAGGTTCTAATCGAAAACGGTGCAAATGCAAATGCTGAAGCTGAAAAAAAGCAGTCACCACTTCATAAAGCCACGGAGTATGGTAACTATGCAATGTTCTAAATTAAAAGGAACTATTTCCAATGCAGTTAAATTTTATATTTCATACTTTGTAGGTCGCATCGATGCAATCAAATGTCTAATCAAATACGGAGCAAATGCGAATGCCGAAGATGAAAAAAAACAAACGCCATTATACTTTGCTATTAATGCTGGTAATTCTAGCGAACATTGCCGAAACTAACAGGAATGAAGTTAATTCGTTTTATGAATTTCAGGTAAAACTGAAGTATGCAAAACTCTAATTGAAAATGGGGCAAATGTAAATGCAGAAGATAAAAATAAGAGAAGCCCTCTTCATTGTGTTAGCAGCATTCCATGGGGTAACTGCACACTTTTTCGGATTTAGATGAATGATTTTCTGCGAATTTTTAACAATATCCATTGAATTTAGGTGAAATGGCAATAATGCAACTTCTAATTGAAAATGGAGCAAACGTTAATGCCGGAGATAAAGACCAAGACACTTCTCTTCACTATACTCAAGTTTGGGGTGTGAAATTTCATCAAAATGTGAATGAAAAATTCTTAATGTTATTTAATTACATCAATTTTCATGATTTTTAGGTAACATAGAAGCAATCAAATATCTAGTCGCGCACGGAGCTAATGTCAATGCTGAAAATAGCGATAAACGTACACCACTACATGTAGCTGTCAGCGGGGGTATACATTTTTAAATGAAAGTAAATGAATTTAAATCACATCGATTTTCACACTTTCTAGTTCAAACCCAATCAGTGGAGTTTTTGATAGAAAGCGGTGCAAATGTGAATGCCAAAGATCATATGGGCGAATCACCGATTTTTACAGCAACAGCAAAAGGTTTGTTGGTAAAACAAGACACTTGTAATCTCTTATCACATCCAACGTCTTTTAGGCCACCTAAAACAAATCGAACTTCTTGTTGAAAATGGAGCAAATGTAAATGAAGAAAATAAAATGAAAGAAAGTCCCATTCATCAAGCTGTTAGATGGGGTAATTCTACAATTTCTTTTTAATTCTTCTTTTTCAGAAAGAAAAATTTCAATTTTTATTCTAATCTTTTAATTTTATCGACTTCAAGACTTTCCCGTTCAAACAGAGGTTATAAAATATCTTATCGATCATGGAGCGAACGTTAATGCCACAGATGAAAATAAACAAACTTGCACTATGAAAGCGGCTATGAAAGGATACCTGGAACAAATCAAATGTTTAGTCGAACATGGAGCAAATGTTAACGCCGTAGACAAAGACCAACACACTTCGCTGTATTACGCTGTTCAAAATGGTAATTGTTGACATTTTTAAGAAAGTTTTTTTCAGTGATGTAAACCATATTATTACTTTCATGGTTTCTAGGCCGCACAGAAGTAGCCGAATATCTACGAGAATATGGTGCCAATTTCCATGCTAAAATGTAGTGGCTAAAGTAAAATTTAATTATGTCAGAATTGAAGTCGTGTATAATCGTGTTTATCAAGAAATAAAATGATTGTGATTTAGATTTATGGGTTTTTTGATAAATTAAACATTTACTAACACATTATCACACCATGCGAAAGAGTTTTATTGTAAACAATTGATAAGTTCAATAGCCACTTTAGAAAACTTTTTGCAGATGACTTGAAATTGATTCGAAAAATACAATCGCCCAGTGATGCCATTACTTTCCAAAATTCCATTGATCAGTTGAATGATTGGTGCACTGAAAACAGCCTATATCT